TGCTTTTTTTTCTTGTGATCCGTGCTTAATTTTCTTCGATTTTAATTGTTTCGAATTTTATTGAAATTAGAAGACTTAATATTGAATTTACAATATATTTTAATTTTAATTTTTTGATTTTGATTTTGATGCTCTAGTTGATGCTTATATTCTCTTGATAATATTTAAAAAATAAAATTAGTTATGTTTATTTGGTGTTTGATAATATTTAAGGTTGGAAAAAGGGTTGAAGATTTTATAGCTACTGTTGATGGGTGCTCCCAAGCAGAAGTGGACAGCTGAAGAAGAGGCAGCCCTTAAAGCTGGAGTACTTAAGCATGGGACTGGCAAATGGCGTACAATACTCATGGATCCTGACTTTAGTGCCGTCTTGCGTTTGCGTTCCAATGTTGATCTCAAGGTATCCACATTTTCAATTTATTATATGAAAGGAGCACGCTAAGCGGTGCCAGGCATGGTGCTTGTTGTTGTTGCAGACCTAGGGTTTGATTTGTTTGACAGATGTGTTATTATGTGTTGATGATGTGAGTTTTGATCGGGGGCAGGATAAATGGAGAAATATCAATGTGACTGCTATATGGGGGTCCAGGCAGAAAGCAAAGCTTGCGCTTAAAAGGAGTCCACTGACACCAAAACGTGAGGAGAATGGGAAGGCTCTTAGTGTCGTGGTTCAGAGTAATGAAGAGGTTGTTGATGCTAAGCCTCTTGCAATGGCTAGTGGGACACCAAGGAATGGTGGCCCGAAAGACCTGCTTGCGAGGTTAGATGGTTCTACTCAAATGATGTTTGCAGTTTGTAGTTCCTAGTTTTGCTGAGCTTGGATTAGCTTTTGATTTTTGATGGTATGTAATTGGAGTTGGAGCATGGAAAACTTTTGATTTTTGATGGTATGTAATTGGAGTTGGAGCATGGAAAAATGACAAGTTAACCAGTTTTTTCTGATAAAAAAAAACATCAAGGATTAGCTGTAGGGTTAATATTGTTATAGGAAAACAGGAACGTTCACAATATTCAAGTTCATCAATGGGCATGAACCCGGATGATGAGGTCCTGACTTGGTGATGATTATGGTGCTGTAAAGATATATGATAGAATTGAACTATCTCCTACCACTATTTTTGTTCTCAAAAAGAAATTTGGAAAAACAGTTTGCATATTATTATTGGGGTAATGCTTGTGTGCTCTAGAGACTATTTGATCATCATTCCAGTTTTCAGTTAAGTTGCATATCCATTCTGACAAGTATGACCACATCATAATAGCAGATCTTACATGGGAAAAAGCATTCACTCTTTTTGCATACAAGCTTTACTGTATTGTCTGGAGCTCTAATAGAAAGACTGGCTGAGTTAATTAGCCAGCTCTCAACCTGTGAAGCAAGATGCATTGGTTAGGTGGCTGACAATCCATATACAGGTCTTTGTTAATGAAGAAAAATACCAGTATTGGGCCTAATATTCAATCAAAATGTGTTAATAGATGGAGGTAAATGGCATAATAGAAGTCAAGTAAAATAGTTCGAATGAGAGGCTGCTCCCTGCTGTATTCACATTTATTCTTTTGAGATCTTCAAGTTCAATTCTGGTCTTTTCTTACAGTGGCATTGTAAAATGTCATGGTCCTTCATGGCTTTATCTTAGATTTTAATGCTCACTGATTTATTTTTTGTCATTCTCGATGCCATTTTTAATATATATGCATTTCGTTCTTTGTTACTTTCTGCAGAGCTTTAGACATTCTTCTTTGGTATATGAAACAGTTTTGCTTAACAATAAGTTATCTTCTGCTTGTGTGTCAGTGTTTCTTTTTCTGCTGTTTTCTGGCCCCTCCAACCAGTTTAAGCCTCCATGGGTTACTAGCTAACCTGTCCTTGTTCCATTTAAGTTGATGGTTGCGGTCTACAGATTCCATAATTTGAATTTTCAAAATGTTTCGATCTCTATCGTGGGGAAATCATATGTGCACATAAATCTAATTGAAGAGTGTAAAGGGTGAAATATTATTTTATGACAACATTGCAAATTGAATTCTAATGATGATTAATGGCAGCATATTACAACTCAAAACCTATAGTTATGCTCTACAAATGCTTTGAGAATTTATAAAATGAGGCTATATTTGTATGTACTTGCTTATAAAGATGAGGTGGAAAATCTTTGTCGCTCAAGGCTAACAAATCTCTGTACCTGAAACCATGTTGTCCTGCTGTTTTGTGTAATTAATAACGAACTCTGTTGTAACCTACTTTTATGGCTGTAGGTTGGATAATCTAATATTAGAGGCTATTACCACTTTGAAGGAGCCAAGTGGTTCTGATAGGGCTTCAATTGCTTTGTACATACAGGTACATGACCTCACATGTCTCTCAGTTGTAAAGCGGCAATTGTTGAGTATCAAACTGAAAAGAAGTCTTAACTGCTGGACATTGTTAGTGTCTGTCTCCAGATCTCTGTTTTTTTTTTTTTCCAACTATCATAACTATGTCAAGCTAAGCATATCCAAAAGTTGTGTGTCCAACACATGCAAACTGATATAAATAGATTACTCATTTGTGATCAAAATGATTCTGATGTTGATGTCTTGTAACTTGTAGGAGAAATACTGGGCGCCCATGAACCTCAGAAAGCTATTGGGAGGAAAACTAAAGCATTTGACTGCAAATGGAAAATTGATTAAGGTGATGATCACTCTGAGGTGGTGCACGAGCATGCATGGGAATTAATTAGATCTTGAAGTGACTTGAATTAACATCCTCTGCCTGCAGAGTCAAATTAATTCCTTGTGTTTTGTGTTTCAAGGACATCTTAGAATTCAATGATGCAGAACACTGAAATTTGGTGATAATGCTCTGGTAAAAATGGTCTTAACAGATTATGGACTTTGAAAATTAATAAAGCTTTGTATAAAGAGAAAATAATATGAACAGTAATGTGAAGATAAAGAAGAAAGGATTTATGATGGGCATGCATGCGTTTGAGGCTTTGAGCTTATAAAGGTAGTGAATATTTTAAAAGAAGATTTCATAGTATTATCATTCTTTGTGTTTGTATTTATAGGTCAAGCACAAGTACATGATTGCATCTAGTTCAACAGTTTCTGAAGGGAGAAGAAACCATCCCCTCCCTGAGGGGAAGCAGAAGGAAATGTTAAAATTGGAGAAGAGTAAGAACAAAATCCTGACTAAAGCTCAGGTTGATCAAGACCTATTAAAGATAAGGGGCATGACTGCCTTGGAGGCTGCTGCAGCCGCTGCAGCTGCTGTTGCAGAGGCAGAAACTGCAATTGCAGAGGCTGAAGCAGCAGCAAGGGAAGCTGAGAAAGCAGAGGCTGAGGCAGAAGCAGCACAAGTTTTTGCCAAAGCAGCAATTAAGGCATTTAAGCACCGAGCATGTCATCCGTGGTAAACTCATCTCTCTGCTGTCATAAGATGATAAAATCTCATCCACTAGCCGAGGTGCACTGTGAACTGGACAATTTTATTTCACTTCTAATTTCTATCTGTTAAATCCAACTTTTTGTTTCATGCCTGAGAGTGAAATCACGAGAACGCTTAGTTCTAAGAAGAATGATATATATTTGTTTTGCCTTGCCAGTATCATAACAATCTTCCTGTCTACGTATGTTTTCTTCCCTTTCCTCTTTTTTTTTTCCCTTTGTTTTCCAGTGGGCAAGCTGGAAATAGCTTAATAAATTCTGATCTTCCTCTAATCTTCTTGATGTCCTCTTAAACCTGTGCAGATGACATGTTTTGCAGATGGAAGTCTACATCGTTGGGCATGAAAAATGCATTGGACTTGACATCATGTTGATGCAGCTGTATCAACTGCCATTTTGTCTATATAACTGTAAATGTGGTTAGCTTGTATATGGGGAGATGCAAATCTTATTCCATGAAATCATATTCCCCTTACAGAGGGATCATTTCGTCAGTAGAGTATAGGTTTTTGACATCGAAGTTTACAATGTGGTAAAAGAGTAGACACTGGTGAAAGAATCAGGAATAGGAAGGTGGATTGCTAAGCAAGATGAAACATCTTCATATCCTTTTGATGGTTAATTAATCCAATGAAAGAGTGAATGTATGTTGCTGAGTTTGAATTTTCAGTGTTCCATATGTACCTGCCGCCTCAAATGTATTACCCGTGTCTGTTCTTTTTTCTTGAATAATAGAAATTGTGTTCTTTTAAACCCTAATCATGAAACCCTAACATCCATGAAACTAGTTCAGCTTCATGATCTGAAGCCATTCCTCCACGACAAAGAGATTATAGGAGGGGTAGGGCATCAATTCTCATCGTTATGCTAAATGGAAGCTCCTCCTCAAATATGGTTGGTGGAAGCTAAATGTCGACGGAAGTTCCCCTGGCGGTGCAGGATGTGGTTGTGTAATCAGTGATTATTTAGGAAGTTGGTGCTATGGCGTTTCTTCTTGCATTGGTTCTGCAACAAATTGGTTGCTGAGCTGTGGGGGATTGATATGGGAAGGAATCTCTCTTGCGAAAGATAATGGATGTCCCTCTTCAAGTTGAAGCGGATTCCATAGAAGCTGTTCGGTGCTTACCTTGTACTCCGACTAATTATCATCCTCTCTACAATATTATACCAATGTTATATTGTAGCTTCGAGATTATTCGAGAGGGCAGTCAATGTGCGGGTTTCACGACTCGATGAGGTTCATCTCGAGATGATCGTATGCTAAGATGGGAGTCTCCTCATGTTATTAGGGATTTGTTAGATGCTGATAAAATTGTAGTTTTCGTGCATATCTATTCTTTCTGTTTTTTTTTTTTGAACCGTTTTAGATATTAATTTGATCAAGTTAGATGATTTGATACGGCAGTCTACTAATTGGTTAACTTAGATAGGGCTTGCTAAAACTTATTGAGTTAACTTCAAATATTTTTTTTTTCTAAATTTTTATTCAAAATAATCTCGTTTTATTTTTAAAATGTTTTTTACACAATCTACCAATAACTTTAAAGTTGACTCATAAGATTAAACAGGATTGATCAAATAAGTTATTTGAAGTTGACTCAACAACACGGACTCGTGACCAAATCAAACCCCCGAAGCAAGCCTGAAAATTACGATAATGAGCTTGGGGTTGCCATTCAGCAACAAAACAAAAGTTAGCGAAAGCTATTAGCTCTTTTAGTGAAGAAAGGATGATAGAAGGCGACATGTGTGCTCAGGCATAATCTACTCGTGATGTAATTTCGCTATTTGCAAGCACGTAAAGCATCGATAGATTTATCTTTGTTGAACAAAAATGTCTAAATTCAACTTCCATTTTTCAGTACAGGAATCGGAGTTGCTTCTGCTCAACATCAAAGGGGAAGAACACACCATCCTTTTCCTGCTTACCTTCCAAAAATCTTGTATGTCCTGAGCTGAGGGCAATTCAAATGTACACAAATCATCAGCCTCCATCGTTCTTATTTCAAGTTCTACATATTAGGCATCTTTTGCAGGCTCTTCTAATAGGATATTTGAGAGCTTCTTCTCTAAACAAGCAGTAGAAGATCCAGATTCCACATTATCAGCAATAACGTCCCTCTTCACTAACGAGTTAGTTGCTACATCTATAGGCCATTAACAGAGTTTCCAGTGCTAGAACCATGTCCGGATCATCACCTCCTCTGTTGGTACTGCTGTTATTAACAAGGGACATATCTGGAGTGATAATAGTTTTATTGACAAAAGGATCCTCATCCAGCTCAAGATTTCTGTCCACCATACTTGCATTAGGCATGAGCATATGCAAGCTCTTATTGCCTGCAATTTCCCCACTGTTAGTAATGGAAGAGGTTCCGATCAATCAGATGCGGGTTTGTTGCAACTGAAGCATATAGATAGCCTAGTAAATACATTTATGATGTCAGATGACTAGCCCAAAAGAAAACACTATCACTTTTGAGAAGTGCTGGATGTGCTCAAATTTAACTAGGAGATTCTATAAACCTCTGACTATAACTAACCAAGACTAGGAAGGTCTAGAATTAAGCTTGGAAGGTGTTTTATCAATTTTCATTATATTTCTGTTTATTTTTAGAATTTAAGCTTAATTTTATATTTTAGATTTTCTTTAATGTTTGATTTAGGATTATGATTTTCCCTTGAGTACGGTTTAGACCCATGTAAAAAGGTTGTATTCCTTTAAGAGGAACAAGCTATAATAGAAAATAAATTCAGTAAGAAAATACAATTAAAGCTTTGGTTGTTGAGAAACTTTTTTTAAAATTCTGTCTTCTTTGTGCTTTGCATCCCTTTTGCTTAGGATCGGTTGCGTCAGTTAGCATTGAAATGAGAACCATCAGTGTCCTCAATGCAAGAAATGGTGTGGGGTAAATCTCCTGATGCGCCAGACTTACATAGAGACTGCAATAATCTCGACAAGATAGAGACTGTAACCTCTGATGCCATACCACAACGGCCAGCTTCATCCAACAGCTTCTCTAGTCCATCCTGACTGATTTTTTCACTATTTTTCTCAAAAGATCTGTCCACTGCCTTTCACTAATTTGAAATGAGGCAAGAGCCATGGTGCTAAAAGAGTGACAGCCTTCTCATAATTCTATTGAGCTGTGGCTTGAAATCCCATTTCAGTAAAGATACTGGATGAGGGATTTCTCCAGCTTCCAAAATCTTATCGAATGCATGCTCCAGAAGATGACTCTGTATGAAGAAAACAAAAGGTCAAGAGACTCAAATTCTACTCATTGAGCTCATCTGCAAGTCATCTGGTATAGTGGTAGTGGCACTACGATCAAATCCTTTGATGATCCCAATGTTTGGGACACAATGGGCTTTCGTGTGTTCAAAGATAGGTATGCAATCATCAATATGCCTACCATTAGTAGAGGGACATGTCTCAGGACAGAAAAGACTGTAACAGTGAAAATAGAGATGATATGTCTCCTCCTTATTTTGAAAGTACAAAATTCTCTCCTAAACTATCACGGGGACAGATTTATTTTATCTCTCTCTTTATTTCTTCAATAAAATACATTGCTATCTCTTTGTATTTGTTCTTTTTATCCCGAAACAGTAACCAAATGCAAGACATGATCATTCCAGTGAGAAACCTCCAAAGGCTTCTTATGACAGAGTCTTTCCATTTTCTCAACTTGGCATGTTATGAACATATGTTTTGTGGCCTATAGATATTAAATAAAATGCAGACATTGAAGCTACTGAAGAAAAGAAACCAAAGAGCACATGGTTCAACAACGCCATAACCAAGCAAACTTAAGAGTCCAGAGCAAAGCAATCAGTCTCTAGGAGTGAAGATCCTAACCTCTAGCATAGCATCCTGTCACCTCCCATTGTAGCAAAGGCAGCAAGCTCGCGCATAGTATACACTGGTCGCTCCAACTACTCCTCTTTGTTCCATGTCCCCATCACCGTTTCCACAGCTTCATTGACTCTACCTTCCTCCCAAAATGTTCTCACAAGAACTGAAAGTCAAACTATACAAAATGCATGAGCTACAAAATATTGTAACATTTCCCATATTAGGCAGCGACTACATACCTTCGTCTGTAAGGGCTTTTAGAGATTCCCCGCTTCTGTTCGCTTTCCTGTAAGTATTCGTGGACTGATTCGTACTTCCCGGAATGCAGCATTATCTTACGACAAGCATATTCTGTTACTAGCCGAGGTTGGAAAGGCCTCCAAGTTAGGCTTAAAAGTTCCACTTCATGAATAGCCATGATACCCCCATATATTGGAAGTGGCTGAACAAGGTGTCCACGATGACATATTCTGATGAAGTTCTTTTGATGAACCAATACCAGACATCAGATCCTTATGGAATAATCCCTTCTGGACAAATTGTCAACGGCACCACCATCTTAGAATCGCTCAATATTAATACCACTCCCATATATTGGAGGTGGGAGAAGGTGCTTGTGATGTTGGGTTGGGCTTTTCTATACGGGATTTTTTTCTACATAGCTCTTCGATTCTTTTCAAAGAACCAGAGGTCATAGAAAATCATACAGGGGAAGTAGAAGTTCCTTCATTGGAATTGCAAATGAGATCCTGCATATCCGTTTATTTGTTCTTACATTTTGAGATCATATGCACTGATACCTCTGGAGAAGCAATAAACTAGCAGCTCTTGACTTGTGCTTTTGTGCTCTAATCAACTTAGACAGGTTAGCTTTTGAATGGTTCTCTCCACTAAGGATTTTCAACCTTGATCTTCAGCTCTATTGGATCCGTTAGCAGCTGAGAAAACTCCAGCAACCTAATGTTAGAAACTAATCTCAAAAGTTTATGAATGTTGCAAGGTTCTATGTAGAAGCCCCTGAAATAAATTTCTGCCCAGTGCATAGTTTTCTGGCATGCTTTCTTATTTAGACAAGTAGAAAAAATTCAGAAGGCTATTAAGCTTGGGGTAAAACTTGGTGAGACATGAAAAATTATTTTAAACCAGAAACTAACTTTCTGTCAGCGTGTCTTTTACGAGGTGGAAAACTGAAAAGCATATTAGCTAAAAACAAATCTTTCAAACATTGATGAAGCGTTTAACCAGGATCTTCAGGGTCTTTCACATGTCAATAAAGAGAAAATCCAATGATAGTCTGATTATTCTTACCAAGGTTCTACCATTCAAGAACCTAATAAAATCAATCAATGACGAATAGGGAACTTTTTTGGATGTGTATGATTATCTTGTTTCAGTAATCCTTCGATATTAACTATGCGAACAGTCAACTTTTATCTTTTAAGTTTGCATCGTCATGGATAACGATACATTTCAAAGCTTGAACTGAGGCTCTTAGGGGATTTAGAGTATCTACAGGGAAAAGCTTCTGGTGTTTTGACATTGGTTTAACGGAGTTGACACAGGAAACACTGGAAATAGCATCGGTTATGCTGCCTATACCATCTTTATGCTGACCACCTATGCTGGGAAGAAAGTACATGTACATGTTTTCTTAGTTGCGAACATATAGGCAACCTTTTCTCTTCTCTTAATATGCACAAGGAAATATATCCGGTGTAAGATGTACTGGTAAAATGGCAGGAAGTGGCAATGAAGGTCCTGCCATCTACTTCAACTCAAGCAACTGTGGAATTCGTGAATGAGAAAGACATTGCACTCGCAATCTTCTATTATCCATACAGAAACTCAGCATTTCTCATAGAAATATCAAAAGTATTATCTTCTTACTCTCTTTTCACCAAATTTTAATGCTACTGATTTTGCCAAATAACATCTCTTCAATATTCCCTGGTCTCATCATATCTAAATAGAAGGTTCATGTATTGACACAATCCAGTGAAGTCTGCAACTATGGCTCTTGTTTCAATTTAATGTCTACTCCACAACTGGTATTCATTGTCGATGTCTTTTGGGCATGAGAACCTGTTGCCTATTCTTGGTTAATGTTGTGAAAGTGATCAACAAATTCTCGTTTATCCATTTTTGTCCAATGGCTCTCGACAAGTTCTCCTCTATGGTACTTTAAACCAGAAGAAAAAACTGTTTTGACCTGGATCTCTTCTTAACAACTACTGGTCCCTTGACAGGAGAAGCAGCGAGGAGAAAAACTCTTGCCTGGCCAACCAGACCCTCTATTGCTCTCGGTGCTACTCGAGGCAAGTTATATTGGGGTATTCAGCCTTTTTCACTAAAGTACCTCGTAACTTATCATACCGAAAACAGAAGCTACGTAGAAAAACTTTTAATATACTGTATTTCATACTGGCAAAAGGTTGCAAAAATATATTCACACATTTGCTTGGGGTTGCATTATACATAGAGATGTCAAATCAAGCAGCATCCTCAGATCATAGCATGAATGCCAAGGTGACAGACTTCGGCTTCTCAAAGAATGCTCCTCAAGAAGGAGACAGTGGTGTTTCTCCGGAGGTAGGGGGGATAAGGTGAATGAATGCATAAAAAATCTGAAATTAATCGGCATGTTTTGGAAACAATCGGAAATAACTCGGCAATATAGATGATCGGGCAATAAATCGGAATATAAAAGGATCTGTGCGGCGACTAATTTCGAATCATCGCCAAAAGATCGGAAAACAATCGTCATCTGAGATGTTACTCCGCATTTGATCGGGAATATATTCGGGAATTAATCGGTAAAGGATCGCCATCTAGATAGTCTTCTTAATTCCTCGCGAATTAATCGGGAATGAAGATTAATTCAAGAAGAATAAGCAATTAATCGGTAGCTGAGTGAAAAGATCGGTGGATTGATCGGCAACGAGTCCAGTGAAAAAATAGGCAGCAAGCGGATGCCTGATTTTTGGGCCTTGAAGAGAGAGAGATGGCTAAGAACCTTAATCTTATTCTGCCTTTTTTTTTTATTATTATTTTTGAGTTTTGTTTTTGACACGATATGAAGGGCATTTTGGTTAATTAAGTGGGGATTGAATAAGGCATAAAATCTTGTTAAGAATGGAACTATCAAAGGACCTGTTGAAACAGATATCTTAGATTGTTCAACATTTATTACAAGTTTTTGTAGCTTATGCGGACTATTGAGAAAATTAACCGCATTATTTAAAATATTTGTAAAAAATTGATATGAAATTAACCAAACTGTTTTTTTTTATTATAAGATTTAAAATAAAGATTAAATTCAATTTTGATTTTAGAAACTAAAATCAAAACAACCCAACCAAAATAAATTGAAAAAAACCCACTAAAAATTAAAAGTCTATTATAAAAATAGCACAACTAAAGAACCCATGAATTATATTGGACTTATCGGGTTTTAAAAAATGCAAATCTTAACTGAACTAATGATGCATTAGGATTTTGTTTTTGAAAAAGTTGTTGGTTTTCTTAGTTGTTTTTCTATTTAGTTTAGAAAATTAAATAGCATGCTTAATGATTTTATTTTTTCTAATTTGTTTTGGAATTTTAATGTTTTTTTTTCCTTTATTCTCAAGTTTTGTAGTTTGTTTAGGTTAATTTTTGAGTTTATTTAAGGAGTTGTAGGCTTTTTAATGAGGTATACTATTTGAAGAGAAATATTTAGCAATAAAATTATAAATTGTGATTTTATGTGACAACCTATTCGACTTCAATTCTATCTATCTAGTTTGCTCTCTTTTTATTTGAATTTCTATCTATGTAAGTTGATATCGGAACTCAAAAATCCTAATAGTTATTTATTTATTCTGTTGAAATAACAATATGACTTAAAGAAGATAGTAAAACAAGGTATGCTTGTGTAGAAGATGATGAGAAGATTCCTCTTGATAAAGGGATAAAAGATACGTAGATACAAGTTGCAAAATTAACTTGTCAGTTGGATAATGATGAAAAAAATAATTACATATATATGATTAATTTTGAGAACCTGTTTTAAAAGCACGAGTAAATAAAATAATTTCTTAATTAAGATAAATATAATATTAAAATTGAAAGATGATTCTATTTTATTTATGAATTGGAATCAGGATGATGTTGAAAAAAAAAATTTTAATGTATTTTTTTTTTGTAATGTCTATAAAAAAACAAATTTAAAAGTGATTCTTGAGGCAATTTTTAATGAAATATATTGCGAACAACATGCCTTACTGGTGCTTAAAGAGAATTTTGAAATTGATAGGATCAAAATTGATATTCTCTTATTTCAAATAAAATTTGTGAAGTAGATTTTTAAATCTTCTACTCACTATAGATTGGTTTCGTTGGTAGAAAAACTAAAAATATTGTTGACAGATAGAATGTTTTGTTTTTCTAGTTTGTTATATTCTTGTTTGTATCAACTAATTAGTTTGATTCAATTTAAACTTTTTTTTTTTTAAATCGATTTGTTGTATCATACGTAAGCCGAAGACCATCTTTGGCTGAATCCTAGTTTATAACTCCATCATTCAGGTATTACTCAACACAACATGTTTTGCAAAAAGTGAAGTCTTTTGCTTTGGGGTGGCTTTGCTTGAAATCCCACGTGGCCAAGAGACTCACAACGTG